CATATACTTTGTCTCATGTCATTGACCACAGTTTACCACAATGCAACAGCTCCCCTCCCACTTCCTCCCCATAGTTACCTCTTCCCAGTGTCCATCACCAGGGCTCCTTTTATCTGGAATATGGGGATAATAATAATAATATCTACTACATGAGGTGGTTTTTGAGGATTAAATGAGATAAAGTATTTCAAGCACTTAAGCCAGTGCTTGGCATATAATAACTTGTCCAAGGCAGTATCACCATGCACTACTCAGTGCAAGGACCAGAACTGCTATGATTGCCCAGTCTTCTTTCTGAGGAGTGGCTGGTGGGTTTGAACAGCCAGCCTCTGGTTAACAGTCAAATGATTTAGGCACTGTGCCACCAGAGCTCCCCCACAAGTAACAGGTATTACTAATAGTAGCTTAAATACAGGGAATCTCAAAGATTCAAGATGTCCTCTATCTCTTCACTTACAGCAAAGTGCAATCTGGACTAATTATTACTCTATTTCAATGCTAATATTATTTTAGAGATACTTCCTTTTAAATATTTTTATAGGTAGGAAACATAATGCCAGAGCCTTGAATGTATCACCTTAGACTTGGCTTTTAATACATTCCAAAACACCCTAATAATAGAGGAATAGTAAAATGAACATGTATATAAATAAGCTTAAATATGCATGTCCTAGGTGCCAGATATAAGTAATTTCTCTTCACCGTTCTCTTTCCTTCTATTTATTTCTCAAAGCCTGTCCTCTAATTGATCACCTGCTTAAACCCAGTGTTCTAACTTTTCCTCCCTTATAAATGTGGAGTTTGACCATATTTGATGTGCTTTATTTTAAATAATTAACTTTGACTAAAGTTATTAAAGTTTAAGATTACTTGAACATTTGTCTTATAAAGAAGCATTGATTTGAATATAATTGTCATCCTCTAGTATATTCATTCAGTTTAAATGCCTTAGCATTTCTCAAATATAGTTTCTGATCAGTGAAGTCTAGAAAAGCATTTTTGAAAACAAATTAAAAGAGAAAATGTTAAATCAGTGTCCTCAATGCATAGTAACTATTATGAGAAGGCTTTATTAACCAGAATTAATACCATTTAAAAATCATAATCTGAAAGATGAAAGTACCTATCAATTATGGGAAAAAAGAATATTTCCAAGTTTACTGTTTTCAAATGGAATTCATTTATAACTATTTTGATTTGAGTAACTTTGTTCCCTAGTTAGCAGATTACTTTTTGGTGACTGTTTCTTTCATTTTAATTTCTTGAAGAAGAATTGACCAATACTGAGCTACATGAGTGTTATTCAAGGAATACGAATTTACAATAGGACGTGCAATCTAACTCTTAATTAATGCTATCCTCTCCAAAATTGTCTAACTAGTGTCACTCTGTAGACAATTACCATGAAAATAAAAGGGAGATTCTTTTGTCAAACTTGATTTTTGATTACCTGCATACAGACGGATCCGCTTTCCTGTAACAATGAACAAACGCCTGATCGAAGCCAGGCTATTCGAGACCGATTGAGAGGAAAAGGATTACCGACAGGTAAGTATCTATTACTAGTTAATTTCAGGTTTTGACTTTAACCTTATTCCATTGTTGTCCTTTATGAAGTCATACTTGCCTGGCTTGCATATTTGAACATTGTCATAGAAGCTGAAAATAAGTGATTGCAGTGGAGGCAGGGAGCAGACAAGATCACATAAATAAATCCACTTATGTTATAAAGAAAATTACTAATCCAGTTAGAGATCACTCAGTTAATCATTTCCCTTTCTAGTATTGCTGTTATATCAACAATATAATTTTTTTTATTTATCTTGATTTTTATATTAAAAATACATCTTAAAACATGACTAAATAAACACATACATACATTTATAAACACGAACACTACTCAAGCAAATTTCAGAAAGCAACATCATACTTAATACAATCTGATATTTTCTATCCTATTTCTTTCTTTCTTTTTTTTAATACTAGTCATAATGCACTAAATTGATTTTATGGCCAATTTCATAAATTGCAAATATCAAATACTGCAATAGGTTATAATTTTTTGTTCAGTAAATAAAAAATGATAGTCATTTGCTATTTGTCAATAAGATTAGGTGATTATGGGGTCCTATGACGATTACTATTAGGAGCTCTGGTGGCTTAGTGCAATAGGTTATAATTTTTTGTTCAGTAAATAAAAAATGATAGTCATTTGCTATTTGTCAATAAGATTAGGTAATTATGGGGTCCTATGACGATTACTATTAGGAGCTCTGGTGGCTTAGTGCCTAAGGCATTTGACTGCTAACTGGAAGCCTGGTGGTTCAAAGCCACCAGCCTCTCCTCTAAAGGAAGATTGGGCAGTCTACTCCCATAGAAATACTGCCTTGGAAACCCAAGGAAGGGTGGCTGTGAGTTGAATTGACTCGACAGCAGTGAGTTTTGTTTTTGGTATGATAATTACTTACTTGATTAATTTTTTAAGAAGAAATGATTAGAAGTACCAAACTCTTGAAATAAAAGTAGGAAAAAGTAAATTTTTATGTGACTGCTGATTTTTTAGTGTTAGGTTTCAGGATTGATTTACTTTAGATTTTACCATTCACCTTTGTTTTATTTCTCATGAAGTGATATTGAGAATTATTATTGAGAATCTCAACATTAAGAAAAATATTTTGTGGATAAAATATTTTATTGTGTTAGATCTTGGGGCTGAGGAGAAGTAAATGCAAAGATCGCTTAGATAGTATTTAAAAAAAAACATGTTCTAATTGACATAACCTAATAAAATAGATTAAAATATTAAGATATTTATTTTTAATTTAATCAGATCTACAGAGTATTGCTGTTTTATTAGAAACCTGTTTTGCAGAATTCAAAACTCATATCTGAGTGGGAAAAATTTGCTCTAAGCAAGAGTATTGTTTGTCTTTACAAGTCTAAGAAAAGGAGTATAATAATTTCTAATAGAGTCTATAATTGTGCAGTTAGTTCAGTGTCTGTTTTGGTGTTTCCACTGTGCTTAGTGTAGTAAAGATTATTTTTCTGGCAATGTATCTTAGGTTTCATTGTAATAATTTATTTCTGGTTAGATCGGCTTTTGTTTTTTAATACATAGGGCTGGCGGTTCAAACCCACCAGCCACTCCTTGGAAGGAAGGTTGGGCAATCCTACTTCCGTAGTGATACTGCCTCGGAAACCCACGGAGGGGTCGCTATGAGTCAGGTTTGACTCGACGGCATATAACAACAACATATATTATTTTATATGTGGATCAGAAGAATGCAAGGGAGAGATTTTGTTTAACTTATGTTTTCAGAGCTGTGGTGACAATTTTAAAAGTAGTTTAACCCTTTCTTGCAAGTGTTTCCTTGCTAAAGTACCCATTATATAGACACAACTTCTTATAGGTAAAAACCTTTGTTTAAAATGATGATAGGATTTGAGATGATATAACAAGAATCATTGAGCTATAATACAGTAATTATTGCTAAGAATGACAACAATTTTATAATGCATCAAATTTTCAGTCTTCTGTTTTCGTTTGAATAATAATAGAAAATTATAGATGATGTCAATAATAAGCTGAAAAAATCTTTTTCAAGTTAACACACTGAACTCTTTAATAAGTGAAACATTTGATTTGAAGGAACTGATTTCCATTTTTCTCATTTCTCTTCTTTTAGTTCCTCTCCCTCTCTCCTGCTTCCTTACTTCTTTTTCCTATTCTTTCTCTTACCTCTTTTTTGAAGTTCCCTACTATCATCTCCTACTACCATTAAGTGGACATATTATAGAATTGAAGTTTGCATGTTTGTTTGTTACTTGTTCATTTAGTAAATATAATGTTATATTATCTACTATTAATTTTAAAGACAGCTTATGTTTTTTTCTGAAAAATTTTCCTGTATATATGAGACCCTCATTCTTTCCCTGTCCATCATGGGCCTATGGAAAAGAACAAAAGATCACCACTACCATATTTAGTGAACCGATTTTAAAGAATATAGAATGTTAACATAGTTTAGATTATATTGCTTTTGGTGATTCAGATGTTTATTGTTACAGACATTACAGTCATATTATTATAGAGAAAAGAAGCCTTGGTGGCACAGTGGTTAAAATGTTTGGTTGTAAACCGAGAGTTTGGCAGTTCAAACCCACCAGCCGCTCTGTGAGAGAAAAGACCTGACTCTCCGGTCCTGTAAAGATTACAGCTTAGGAAACCTTTATGGGGCAGTTATACTTTGTCATATAGGGTTACTATGAATCAAAGTGGACTGGTTGGTACACAACACCACCAACATTACAGAGGTAGCCATTAGAGATTAGGCTGAATCTGTATAACCAGTCATATATATATAATTTGCACATATATACATATACATACATAAATAGATATACTTATGTTTTAAATAAAAGTTAAGCTCTCTGGTCATGTAGATGGGTAGGGATAGGGAAAACCTACTATACTGAGTACATAGTTTTTGTAGGTATTCAATGATATTTGCTGGTTGAGTGAATGGATATATGAGATAATGTTTTATAAAACATTAGAGTTTGTAATATAATATAATCACTTATTTATAATATAATTTTAATGGTTCCATGAAAAATTATATAAGACTATAATTTATTTACTTATATAGCCTATTTTAAACATTAAATTGTATGCATAATGAAAAGAAAAATAAACTCTGGTTTACCATCTTGGCTCATATTATTAGACTGTTGTAACAGTAAAAACATCAGAAGTTTTAGACCAAATTATTAATGTGGCAGACTTTTATTTGGAACTTTCTTTTTATAATATTAGAAATATCTAGTGTGATCTAATAATTATTTAGAATTCATATGATGAAGACTATCTATATCTAAGTACAGATAATCAAGGATTAACTATGTTGTTGTTATGTACCGTCGAGTTGGACTCAACTCATAGAGACCCCTCCTTGGGTTTCTGAGGCAGTATCACTATAGAAGTAGGTTGCCCAACCTTCCTTCCGAGGAGTGGCTGGTGGGTTTGAACCGCCAGCCTTCTGGTTAGCAG